GGCATTGTGGCAGGTGTCTGTGGTCCCAGCTACTTGGGAGGTGGAGGCAGGAGACTCGCTTGAGCCCAGGGGTTGGAGGTTGCTGTGAGCTGTGATGCCACAGCACTCTACCCAGGGGGGACAGCTTGAGGCTCTGTCTCAAAAAAAAAAAACAAAAAACTCTCTTAAATTCAAGTAGGGTGGGCAGTGCCCATAGCTCAGTGGGTAAGGTGCTGGTCACATACACAGGGCCTGGTGGGTTTGAGCCCGGCCTGGGCCTGCTAAACAATGACAACGTCAATCAAAAAATAGCCAGGCCTTGTGGTAGGCACCTATAGTCCCAGCTACTCAGGAGGCTGAGGCAAGAGAATCACTTAAGCCTAAGAGTTAAGAGGTTGCTGTGAGCTGTGATGCCATAGCACTCTACTAGGGTGACATAGTAAGACTCTGTCTCAAAAAAAAAAAATTCAAGTAGGGTGGAAGGGGTTGGGTAACTTCTCAACTAATGGGGATACTGCATGGGTATATTACATATGTCCTGAGTGAAAAACACAACTACAACTCAGAGTTTAATCTTGCAAAAGCAATCTAGGTCTGGCTAATTATATGTACCCCCATACTGATCTGATTTTTTTTTTTTTTTTTTGAGACAAAGTTTTACTCTGTTGCTTGAGGTTAAGTGCCATGGTGTCATCATAGCTCACAGAAATTCAAACTCTTAGGTCAAGTATCTGGGACTACAGGCACCTACCACAACGCCCAGCTACTTTTTCTATTTTTAGTAAAGATGGGGTCTTGCTTTTGCTCAAGTTGGTCTTGAGCTCCCAAGCTCCAGCAATCTGCCAATCTCAGCCTCCCAAAGTGCTAGGATTATAGGCATGAGCCACCATGTCCAGCTGGACAGATTTCTTCTATTTGTAGAGGGAGGTGGGCATCTGTTTTCTTCTACAGGACATATGGCATATTTTCAGAGGTACCCAGACTATGTTAGGGAATTAAGGTAAACTTTATAAGGCTGATAAAAAGTCCACTGGAAAATTTGCCAGGTACCTCATCAATAACATTTCCTAATCCATGGTGAGTAAACAACATCACTTTCTGACAAGTCCAGGAATCACAAGAGAAAAGAGTATTTACCCAATCCATACAGGTATCAGGGAGGCTTTTAAGTCTAACCTGAGATTCCTTATGAAAAAGTTCCAGCAAAGTCAATTTTAAAAGAAAGAAAAGTCTATATGGCTAAAGACTATTCTTTTTTTTTTTTTTTGGCTAAAAATTATTCTTACTGTACTTTATACAAATAATAAAGCCATGTATAATGAGACAAGTAAATTGATCTTATTATGATTTACCTTGAATAAAATTGGTATAGAAAAATATGGTTCATAAATGAAAAGCTATGATCCACCTATATTACAGTCTACATTGCCATCTCATAGGATGAGATGTTAAATTAAACTGATCTGTTCAGAGGACTAAGAGATTGCCCAAAAAATATAGAATGATACATAGTAGTCAGATTTGCTCCAATTTTGTTCTTTTTCCTTCTCTCTTCAGTCCTAAAATAACATCTCAGGTTTTCATATGTAAAACATTTTAAATTCAAAGTGGGGACTGAAAAAACTGAGAAATATTTACCCCAAAATACATTGCCTTGATATTTTGATATATTTTAGTATGGCTGTCACAGAAATAAAACATTACAAAACCTTACTAGAAATGCTAGTCCCTATCTAGAGCCAACACCAGGGGTCCTCAAACTTTTTAAACAGGGGGCCAGTTCACTATCCTTCAGACCCTTGGAAGGCCGGACTGCAGGCCCTGGGACGAGTAAGCTGCTAAGCAGAACGGGCAGCAGCGGCAACACCTGGCAGGCCGGATAAATGTCCTAGGCAGGCCGTAGTTTGAGGATGCCTGGCCAACACTCATATAACCAAGTTTGTCTCTGACTCCAGGACAGCGATTCTCAACCTGTGGCTGTGGTCGCAATCCCTTTTTAACGATGAAAATAGGCTCGGCACCTGTAGTTCAAGTGGGTAAGGCGCCAGCCAAGTACACCAAAGCTGGCAGGTTTGAATCCAGCCTGGGCTGCCAAACAACAATGACAACTACAACCAAAAAATGGCCAGGCATTGTGGCGGGTGCCTGTGGTTCCAGCTACTTGGGAGGCTGAGGCAAGAGAATCACTTAAGCCCAAGGATTTGAGGTTGCTGTGAGCTGTGATGCCACAGCACTCTACCCAGGGTGACAGCTTGAGACTCTGTCTCAAAAAAAAGAAAAAGAAAAAACAATGAAAATATACTATGGCATTAGGAAGGTTCAGAACCACTGCTCTAGACTAATCACACACACAAAAAAGAAATGCCAACAAGCCTTACAGCTCAACAAAGATGCTGAAGTCATTAGCCTAGTACTGCTAGATCAGAGATGTTCAACCATTTTTTTCCTCTGAAGCACATTTGATGAAGAAAAGTTGTCTTAAACAGGGCACAGTGGCTCACACCTGTAATCCCAGCACTCTGGGAGGCCAAGGCAGGTGGACTGCTTGAACTTACAAATTCAAGACCAGCCTGAGCAAAAGTGAGACCCCATCTCTACTAAAAATAGAAAAAAAAAAAAACTGAGGCAAGAGGATAGCTTGAGCCCAAGTTGGAGGTCGCTGTGAACTATGACACCACAGCACTTTACCCAGGGCAACAGCTTGAGATTCTGTCTCAAAAAAAAAAAAAAGAAGAGTTATCTTGAGCCACACACAGTAAGTATACAAAGTCTAATGAAAGCTGATTAGCAAAAAAAAATAAATAAATAAAAGGTCCATCCATCCAGACATACTTTTTATGATAAAGTATGAAAAAGTCCTCATAAAATAAGCATGCATCCCACAAGCCAAAGGTTGGCACCCCTGTCCTAGATAATCAGGCACTGCTAGATTTCTTGTTGGCTAACCAAAAGGAAGTCTGTACAATTTCAAAAACTACCTGCTTGCTGTACGTCAGGAAAAGTTAAAACCCAAATAGAAAAATTCTCAACAAACTGTGTAGCTACCACTGAGCTCTCCCACAGCTGTCTGGTTTTCAGGAGTATTCACTTGGATTATCTTGTAGTCCACTGTTCACTTAAGTACTGTGCTAAGGCTGTAAATAAGACTACTAATGTTCTCATCATGAGTCTCTTAGACTCAAAACCCAGCGCTCATGGATATTTGCAGGTGGCTGACAAATAGTTTCATTCCCTTCCCCCTGGGCACAACACCTACTATGCCTAATGTCAACCTGAAGAAGCCAGAGCTGTCATGAGCCCTTTCCCTTCTCATTTGCCCTCACCTCAAGACTGAGGCTGGGTAAAAAGCCCCAAGGGGAACTGAAACCACTCTTACAAACTGATGAAGGCAAGAGCTAGAGTGAGGCCCCCAAAACTTTGTAAAGGAACAGGCTTCGCTAAAATAATGGCAATAATCAGCCACTGTCCCCTTGTTTGCCTCCCTGTAAGTGTTACTCTAGAGGGCACAGCTAGTAGCTGCAAAGATTCTTAACTTTTCTCCGTAGATAATATCACCTGTTTGGAAACCAGAGGTAGTTTGTGAAGTATCTTCCAGTCCCAGCATTCCAATGCATTTGGCTAACCCACCCAGACTAGCAGCTCATACCAACAAACCAATTTTACTGGAATCATGACCCCAGGAGCTGAAGCAAAACAAGATGATCTCCAGACCCTTAAAATTTTGCCCCAAACTTAGCCAATTATCAAAGCTAATTAATTACCTAATCCCCTGCCTGTCAGACTATCCTTAAAGCCCTGTCTCCCCAATTCTTGTGGCAGCAGGTTTGAGAAAACCATCCTCCCAGCTTTGCGCTATGCAGAATAAACCCGTTCTCTGCTGTAAACTCTGCTGGCTCTGGGTATCAGCTTCCTCCTGGGCAGTGGGCTGACGAACCTGGCTGGGTGGCAACAGAGCAAGAAACTGTTTCTCCCTTCTGACTCTTCTGCATCACTGCCTCCCAAAGGACTAGAGAATTCGAAGCTTTAACTGCCACATCTACAAATTAAAGTTATCATATTTAAAGAGTTCACAGATTCTACATAATGGTTAGTATTCAACGTATGAACCCCACTACACGGAAACTCACCAAGATGCAACACAACATGCTTTAGGGCTCCACAGAATTTTTTCCTTAATTTTAAAAATAAACACAATTATTTTTAAAATATTATGTAATAAGTTAGACTTTGGAAAACCCCATACTCATCCTGAGCAGCTCGAAAATGGAAAGCAAAATTCAATTAGCTCCATTGTACCTAGCCAGGCTAACGTGCAAGATCACACATCTTCATCAAAGCGTCTCTGCCAATACCAAAGAACAACAAAGGCAAGTTGAGAAGGCTGCATAGGCTTAAGTCGGCACTTGTTCGCTTTCCCAGCTTCGAAAAGAAGCTCTCTGAGGGCCCCGAGGACCAATGGGACCCTCGGCATCTCACCAGGCCGGCTGCTCCGTTCAGCACAGCTCGCTCAGCTTTTGTCTGGCCGAAGCTAGGAGCCCCGGCCGCCCGCCTCCCCGACACCCCTTCCCTCTAGATCTTTCTCCACACCCATCACTCGCAGATGATTAGTTGTTGTAGGTTTCTCTCCATCGCCCCCTCCCCTCGCAATCCCGGGCTCCTTTCAAACGCGACCAGTGCTGTGCCGGCCCAGGAGCGCAGGGTCTGGAAGGAGGCCCAGGGTGGGTTCTGGGAGAGGGGAAGAGAGAGGGGCACACAAAGCCCCGCTGACCCCACAGACACCCCCATTGCCTCTCCAAAGCAGCCTGAGATCAGCGCCCAACTGGTTGGATAAACAACCCTCGCATCCTGCACCTCGCCCCGTTCTCACCTAAGGGCCACCCCCTCCCCCCAAAGTGCACACTAGAGAGGATGACAGCGCTGGACATCGCCCCCACCCAGTCCCGCGCCCGCCACTGCGGGGGAGGGGCCGGGGCCCCGGGCGGGCTCGGGTCTGAACCTTCTAGCTGTAACCCAGTACTTACAGCCCTATTATTCGCTACTGTTGCCGCTGCGGACCAGGCAGCCGCCGCCTTCTCCTTCCTCCACCCCAATGAGGTTAAGCACTCGGTGCGGGGATTAAAAAAAAAAAAAAAAAAAAAGCGGGGGGAGACAGAGAGCTCGAGCCAGTGAGCGAGAAGTCGAGAGCGCGTGCGCAGTAGGGTCTCCCTTTTTCTCCTTACCGCCACCGACCCGGCCGCACCATAGAGAGTGTAAACCGAGACCAGAGAGGTGCCTGCCTCTCTATGGTAACGCCCCGCGCAGGCGCCGGTCTGGCTGCTTCGGGCTTCAAGAGGTGAAATCCTAGGAGCTTGTGCCCCCAAGGAGAACGTTAGTTGACCCTGAGGGGGACCCGTAGGGTAAAGGTTCTTTAAGTGTGGCCAAAATATAGTTAGGAACCGTAGGCAGTTGCAGGAAAATTCGAGCTAGAGAAGGAGGGTCGGATCTAAGTGGTCACACCAACAAGGACCAGATAGCAAACAGGAAAAGTTAAAGAGGAGTCTGGAAAGTCCAGATAAAAGTCGTCAACTGGAACTTCCTTTGATTCGGCGGCGGGGGGCGGGTCTAATACCTGAAGGAAACGGCCTTTCACTTCTGGGTTACACGCGTCCGCCCACCTCGCTAAAGGAAATTGTGCCCTCGGACTTCCCGTAGAAGGGTTGTGCGTCCTTTCTCCCTTCCCTTCCTGAGTAGGCGCGGACGCCTGTGCCGGAAGCGCAGCATTTTAACGGTTCTCTTCCCTTTTTGGAGAGGATAGTGTTCAGTGAATGCCTATGGGACTTTTAGAGTGGGTCAGCTAGAGTCCTTTTCTTTTTCTTTTTTGTAGAAACAGAGTCTCACTTTATCGCTTTCGGTAGAGTGCCGTGGCGTCACAGTTCAAGCAGCCTCCAACTCCTGGGCTTAGGCGATTCTCTTGCCTAGGCCTCCGAGTAGCCGAGACTACAGGCGCCCAACTCCCGGCTTTTTTTTTTTTTTTTTTTTGGTTGTTGCGGTTTGGCGGGGGCCGGGTTCGAGTCCGCCGCCCTCGGTGTATGGGGCCGGCGCCCTACCCACTTGAGCCACAGGCGCCACCCCAAGAGTCCTTTTCTTATTGGAGCGCTTCCATAAATAACGCTGATACCTCGCGTCTTCGGCTGACATGTGGGGAAGTGTTTTGAAGGGTAAAATGCTATGCAAATTATAGGGCTATTTTCAAGGATGCTGAAGGACTCAACGGTTTTGTTTTGCAAGCCCTACACCCCTTCGCCGGTAATTGATATCGTATTGAGTTTTTACTGAAGGTCTTGTGTGCTCAGCTCTGTGCTAATGAGTGTGTGTGTGTGTCGGGAGAGGGGTGCAGAACTGTCGAATCACGTCCCCCATCTCAGGGCCTCAGGAGTTGCGGTTGGAGAGGTTAAGCTAAAGCAATAAATCCATGTGTATGGTCTTCTGTGTGCTGCAGAAAAGGGAGAGGAGTGTAGTGTGAAAGAGTAATGATCGCTTGGAGGATGTGACTACGGGTTGGATCTAAAAGGTAACGTCTTTGGAACCAAAGCACAAGCAGACTTTTAACAGTGGTTGGCTGATTATGAAAGAGCATTCCAGAGAAGAAACACCATGGGGCAAAGGCTCAAGAGAGATACTGGGAGTACCATGAAGAGAGCAGTCTATCTGAAATGGGGGTGGGGGAATACAGGGAAAGGAGCGGAAAGTAATTTTTGATGACCAGATAAGATTGTTTTTAATTTTTATATACATAACAAAATGTATTATCTTAGTCATTTTTGAGTGTATATCTTATTATTGTTAAAATGCATTTACATTGTTTAACCAATCTCCAGATTATTTTCATCTTGCAAAATGTACTCTGTACCCATTAAACAATTCCTCATTCCTCCTTTCCACCCAGCCCTGGTAACTTCCATTCTAATTTTTGTCTATGAATGTGACCAGGTACCTCCTATAAATGGAATCATAACAGTATTTGCCCTTGTATCTGGTTTATTTCATGCAGCATCATGTCTTTGAGTTAATCCATTTTGTAGTACGTGTTTAAATTTCCTTATTAAGGCTTGGCGCCAGCCACATACAACAAAGCTGATGGGTTCAGACCCAACCCCAGCTAGTTAAACAACAATGACAACTGCAACTGAACAACAAAAAATAGCTGGACATTGTGGTGGGTGCCTATAGTCTCAGCTACTTGGGAGGCAAGAGAATCGCTTAAGCCCAAGAGTTTGGAGTTGCTGTGATGCCATAGCATTCTACTGAGGGTGACATAGACTCTTGTCTCAAAAAATAAATAAATGAATAAATTTCCTTATTAAGATTGAATAATACTCCATTGTATGTATAAACCACCTAGTTTACTTCCACCTTTTGGCTATTGTGAATATTGCTGCTGTGAATATGGGAGTACAAAATATTTTCTAAAGATTCTGCTTTTGACTGTGGTATATGTACACCATGGAATACTATGCAGCCATAAAGAAAGATGGAGACTTTACGTCCTTCGTGTTCACATGGATGGAGCTGGAAAATGTTCTTCTTAGCAAAGTATCACAGGATTGGAAGAAAAAGTATCCAATGTACACACCCCTATTATGAAAC